AAAGTAGTTGCCACTGGCCAGAGAGTTTGTGAGACCAGGATAGTTGGGGAATACACAGATTCAGTACATCTCCTCAGCAGCCTTTTTGCATGGGTTTCCTGTGGAGCTGCGGGCAGATTTCAAAGCTGCCCTCCTACCCTGAAAGAGGGAAGTGAAATTTATACTAGATCTGGACTGCAAAGTGTTCTATAAATGTGTCATTATTCTGACAATATCACTCAAAATGCTGGTTCATGACAGAATACTTTTACAAGAAGTATCTTCATGATAAAACATTAAATCTTCTGCACCTATTGGAAACAGTGAGTGAACCAGGTACAGGAACAAACAGCTACAGAAAAGTTCATTTTCTAATAAATTCTATAGAACTTTAAGGGGGATGATGGGGTTAGAAGGCTGACAGCAATGCGGAGAAAGCAGCTAAGGTCCTCAGTGGGGTTTGAATGTGTCATCTTCACCAAAGCACAGACATCCACCACTTTAAAGAAGGAACTCCATTAGCAGGAAGCGGTAGTAGGCTTTTATCTTCACTATGTATTAAACATTAGAGGGGCAATACTGTCAGGAACTCAGGTGGCTCCTTGCACGGTCACCTAACAACCCAGTGAGCTTGGCTTGGCCTAATGAATCCTCACTAATTGACTGTGCTCCCTGATTGGACAGAAGAGCCAACAGATCCCTATTTAAGCCTGGTAGCAACAGTAGCACAATGTCTGCTCAATACGTTCCATGCCTGCAGCTGTGCCAGACCTGCTTCTTGTACCAACCCTTGTTCTAACCAGTGCCTCTCCCTGCTCCTGCCCTAGTCCCTGTCTTCCTCAGACCTCCTGATTCCTGGCTCAAAGCACTGCCTAATCTCTTGACTATGACACCTGCTCTTCCCTTTGGTTCTGTTCTGAATCCTGCCTCCTGTCTCTGACCATTGGCTTGTCTTCTGACCACACCTCCAGTTCTGCGCTCTGATTCTGCTCTGACCACTAGGCCAGACTCCTGTTCCGACCACTAGCTTGCAATGCCTACACCTCGGTGTGTAACAATTTGAGCAGCCCAGCAAAAAGCAGCGGGGGGCTACGCCCCATAGCATGGAGCTCCCTACAGAAGAGCCCCAGCAGGAGCCCAGTCCACCATTTCGGAAATTGTCGGGAAACTGGGGGCTCAGGTCGCAGAAGTCAGTGAGCAGAATGTAGCCCTCCAGGCCCAATACAAGACCAGGCATTGTCTTCTGTCCCTGCAGTTCTCATATCCACTTTCTGAATGACCAAGCTGCTCGTACCCGACAAGTTCAGCAGCTATTATGCCAAGTTTCATAGGTTCCTTAACTAATGTCATCTCCAGTTATGTTACAGCCTGAGCTGAGCCCCAGTAAGGGGTGAGAGTTGGGTCTGCGCTCCACTCCTCTCCTCAGCAAATCACACTGCTGCCTGTCCACCAGAATTTGGCAGACCCTAGTACACATGTCAAGTGGGCTGGAAGAAAGCAGACATTACAACAGCTTGGACTAGCCTCCCTGCCTGGCCTTTATGCTGTACAGCAGAGCCCCTGTGGAAGGACAAAACAGGGCCTCCCACAGCGGGTGCAGGGTATACTCCCATGCACTCCCATGCAGGTGAACTGGCCAGTGTAGAGAGGTCAGGACTATGGCTGCAACTCATTCGTTCTCACCCTTCCCTCGGGCTCAGTTGTTCTCACCAGTGCCCGTGGAGGGGGCAGCCATGGCACTGGGCATTTCTGGTTTGACCTGCATTAGCTGCTGTATGAGTAGACAGATGCTAACAGGCAGAAAAACATTCAGGCATCAGGGGGTCCAACTACTTAACCAAAGAGGGGGGAGGGGAAAGACTAAGAACATCATTTGTGTAGCACGAAGAAATCGTCTGGGTGTGGCTTACTAGAACTCCAGGTGAGGAGAGGGGTTGGTTTGCCTCATTTATGAGTCTGCAACCGACTCAAGCCACAGATAAATAAAGGCAGCCACAGATTCACCCAACCCAGAGTCCTGGAGCCATATGCCCTCCTAGACTCGCACTGAATGACAAACACTTCCCAGGAGTTGCTGAAGTCCTAGGAGCACACGTTCACCTGGGGCCACCAGTGCAGTGACTGACAGACTGACTCGATAAGGAGCTACAGCCGCTGGTAAGTGCCCAGTTCTCTCCCATCCTGTCCCTGGCATGAGGGTTAAGAGTTTTCTGTTTATTTTCTACATACTGCTTCAGTGGAGATGAGTCTCTGACACATCACCTCTCTTGGCGAGCAGTACGTTCAATTTTTAACTCATCCTTTTGTAACAACTATTTACTGTTTCCTTTAAAATATTTACTGTTAAAAGTAATTGCTGGGGTGCCCAAGGCTGCTGCAGTCAGCCCATCCAAGCTACCCCTGTGCATCCCAAAAGGATTTACAGTGACATTTTGGAAATGGATACTAAGAGCAAACAAGGCAATCACTAGCTAAATGACTCCCCTGGGATGGTCACATTTTTCTCGCAATTATCCCCGGTGCACATCAGTTTCAGTGGGATTACTATGAATCACCACCAGTGTGATTGAGATTCGAACCTGGCCCTCCGAAAATAATTTTGTCAATTACAGCTCACTTGGGAGATTCCCACTTGCTTAGAAGCTTTTGAACAAACAAAATGCAGCAGAGAGAGGACACATTGTTACATTTTGGCTCCGGTAATGACAGATAGTAATTGGAAAGGGTCACATCACACTTCTAGTTGTTTGATTGACAGGATTCTCACTGCTGTATTTTCTTTCAAACTGCAGAATTGCAGACAAGCATCCAAAAGGGGATCAAATTGATCATGATGAAGTAGTTGGTTCTGATTGACTTAACAGCCATTCTGCTGCTTGTCACATCTGAGTCTCAGGGTTTGCTATAGAAAAACGAGTCAGTATCTTCAACCTCTAAAATATCTCTGAACATCTGAAATTAAGCTACGTGAAATAACAATAACTCCCCCGCACATGATAGCAAAGCTGTGGCTAACATGTTACACACACCCAACGCAGGATGCTTTTGTGACACCGTTTTTTGCTCCTCAGTTACGTCAGCATGAATCCAAAGAACTCCATTGACTCCAGTGTAATTATCCGAATTTACAATGTTGCATCTCAGAACTGTAAAACAGCATCTCATTTACATGTACTATTTTTATATGACACTCTCTGGTGTTACTATTTATGCCTTAGCATTTGGGTGTAGTATGACTAATTTATGATTTCCATGGCGAGGGGGACTTTCAATCTGCCTCCTTTAACTACTGTAAAATTCCCATCTGTATTGTGACATTAATATAGTTTTAAGCATTTAATTTCCTTCTTTGTTTTTTTAAAAAGAGGAAATCTGAATCTATGGATGTGAGCCTCAACTAAACATGGGGTCACAAATTCAACTAAATGCACCACAGCATAGTTATAATCATAAAAAGTAATCTACTGAAGGTATTTCAATGCATAGAACTCCAGGGAGCTACATAATTCTGAATGTCTCTGTTGCTCTATATGATTAAAATTACTACAGCATATATTTTTCATTACTTTAAATGTTGTTATTTTGTAATCTATTTTTTCACCTGATCTTGTCAAAGCTCATATCCTGTAGTGATATACATACAAAGACTCCATTTTGCAAACCTTACTTGGAAGTTACAAATATTCACATAAGTAGCCCCCCCCCCCCATGATGACAAATGGTGGCCAGATCAGTTCCAAAGTTAGTACTTTTAGAACAAAATTATTTTGAGTTGGGTGAAAAAAAGCATCCAAATAATGCATGAAAGAAGTGTTGTTTTTTGACCCTTGTCTAATGACAAAAAGGATGAGTGGATTTTCTTCAAACCTTCACTTTTGGGCTGAGGGCAAGCATAAAAGATTTTAGACCTAAAATAATGGTAATTTTGTGTGTGTGTCTCTATATATATATATAGAGACACACACACACACACTGAATGAGATTGTCATCTCAATAAAAATTGATAGCATAGTTAGTGACAATACAGTGAGGGACTGGATGATGTATTACCACCCACCAGTAATAAGATCAGGACCGATTTTTTGAGTCAGCAGAGATGAGAAACACAGCTGGACAGATCCAATGAGTGTGTGGTCACCTGCTGAGTGGCTAATAGTATTTAAGGGGAAAACTCTAGGTCTTCTCAGTGTTTGGGATTCCCTCATTGGTGCATAGCTGCACTAGTGCAAACCTCAGCTATAGAGAAGAAAAGCCATGATTTGCACTAGCTTAGTTTATCCCTGCTTGAATGTAGGATTGTCAATTGGTGCAAATCACAGGTTTCTTTAGGCCCATTCCTGTCCACCCTTGGGTTTTACATGGTTCCTGGCCATCAAAACTGAAATAATCGGAAGGAGAGATCACAACCTATAGAAAAAGACATTTTCCAGAGGGCACAAAAAAGATTAGATAACCAGTCTAATTGCAGAAAATTGAGGTGTTTTGAAACTAGAGGCTGTTAATGAAGACAGGTGGATTTCCTTATGACACATAATTTGAGAAAATTTTTTTTTACTCCCAGGAGCTTTTGGAAAGTTATGTTAGTTTCATTTAACAGTTTTTAAGAAAAATGTGAACCCAGGGACTGTACAGCTTATTAAAAACGAAACAGAAGTAATCCTAGCCATTAAAAATGTTTAACCTGCACAGAGCACTTGAAAAGCTGTAGCCAGTATGCTGTTAAAAGCAAATGTAAATGCCTTAGCATATATAGAGAGGTTTGTTTCTGGAAAACTTGCATTATGAAAACAAAGCTTACTCACCCACACAGCCCCCTGAATTTCAAAGGGACAACTCATGTGAGGAAGGAGAGTAGGATCTAGCCTGCAGGCTCAGATGAGAAGTCTTTCTGTGAATATTTCTGGGTTTTACACTCATCTCAGTCCTGTCTGAAGGTCTGTATTTTATATGTCACTTACCCACCTTATTCCCTCTCAAGTTAATAGTGTTGTTTTCAAGACGGAATAAAGATCTGACTGAAGATGGCATTTACGAGCACGGTGAGTATAAATTTACTACTGCCAAATAATCTCTCTCTCTTCCCCCCTTTCGGTTTGTGACCTAGGATATGACATCATTCCCTAAGATGCAATAACACATTCCCCTGAACATATTCTAGAACTGTGTTGTCCTCTCCAAGCTAGCAATGAACATCTGTTCAGTCATGGATGCTCCCGCCATATCAAACCACTCGGCTCATGCAAACCTTTAGCATGGTTCAGCCAAAAGATGCTGGACATGAATTTGCCTGCTGAGCTGAGAGTAGAACTGTACTTTGCTCTCCTATCGGATCTTCCAAGTGAGGATCTTAAATCACTTTACCATGAAACACCCCAGTGAGCTAAGTATTATTGTCTGTAGTTTATAGCTGGGGAGCCAGATCCTCAACTGATGTAAATGGGCAGCTATGTTAACTTCCACCTGCTGAGGTTCTCGCCTGGGGAATGAGAAGCAGAGAACTTCATTGATTTGCCTAAATTCACACAGCAAGAGCATAGATTGTACCTATGATTTAACAGCAGGATCATACCTATGCCCCACAGATGGGGAAGCATCAGAAGATTCAGGTGCTCACTCTGGAAATAACCTGTTCTTGCAAGACTTCTAGATGCCCTGATTAGAAATGCTGCATTAAAAGGGCACTATCATTTACTTATTTTATATATATAAAATCAGATATATAATATGTAAGAAAGAGATGGGCTGATTCTGATGACACACCCGTTTTACACAGGCCTGACTCCACTGTGCCACAGTCTGATCTCTGTCACGCTGGTGTAAATCTGCAGTAGCTCCACTGATGCAACACCAGTCCAAGTCAAGTCAGAAAATGGCTGAGTGATTCCAGTGCAGTTACTCTGTATTTACACAATTTAAGCAAGAGGAGACAGGCCCAGAGGATTCTTTTTGGAATAAAAGTTCAAATAGAGCAAAAAGGTCACAAGAGTGATGTGTCTACTATGCAATTTTAGCCTTGTGCCTGTTTACCATAGACTCTGTTGGCTAGGTTCCTTGTTGCTCTCACTTTCCTCTGGGCACAGCAGAGAGGGGGAAGCCAGAACGTTGCCTGTTCTAAGTCTCTGATTATGGGTCTGGTTCTACCCTGACCCCATCCCTGTCTGAGGTAAACTGCACTGGCTGGCTATGGGACCATCTGTATTGCCAACTTGCAAGGTACATCAGCTATAGCCCTTCTTGCACCTCTGTGCCCCGGCACACCAGCTATGCTGTGTGGTGCAGAGTTGTGGGGAGACGGCATATTGGCTTTACATCCATAGGGAGCTGCCTGCACTGGGGGAATCCCCATAGGTCGGAGTTGATTAAGAGCTTTCTGACTATCACAAACATCCTGCGTTGAAGGAGAAAACATTTCTTGTGGGTGAAGGAGAGATGTCAGAATCTCGCTTCCAAGCAATGAGTTATGGACCTATGACAGTCCAAGACATTCACTGATTCAATACCCACTGACATCAATGGAAAGGCTTCTCTTGACACCATAGGTGCTGGATCAAGCCCTAGCTGAGAGTACCCCAAAGGTAACAAAAGGGCACCAGACTTATCTAATTTGTTGTATTAATGGCATTATACCTCCAAATCCTCTGTGGGCCAAATCAACTGCTGGAGTAAATGACCACAATTCTGTTGAAGTCAGTGGAGCTGTACCCATTTACACCAGAAGGAAATTGGCTCTATTTTCCCCCCAGAGATAGACCAAGATTGGGCTTCTGTTTCCGTGGGGCTTCCTGACGGTGAAATGTTTAGACTTTGGGTGTAGGCACATTTCAACAGTTTAAATACTAAAGATGCCACAATTTCATAGGTGGCCTTTGCTCTGCACTATCTGCACTCAAATGTATTGGGGTTATAAGGCATTACTCTGATTGACAGACAACGGAGGGTATGAAATTTCCAATTTCTGGTGGTAGAAAATTTGCCCAGGTTATTGCAAAACTAATTAAAATTTCCACCTTCACTGTTTCTTATTTAATGATTTTGTCAGCATAAAACTAACCTGATGTTCCCCTGCAGGCCATCCAGAATTACTCAGCTAACCTGGATTATTATACGGGTTGTCGTTCTGTGTTGCCTCCGTACGACAACCCGTTTAATCGCACAAACACCATTTGTGAAAAAAGTCACGCCCGGCAGTTTGCTCAAACTTTCCTGCCAGCATTTTTCTGGATTGTATCCTGCATCGGCACAGTGGGTAATGCCTTCGTCATCCTCGTCTTCTGTAAATACAGATCCAGGAAGAGCATCACTGACAGATACCTGCTGCACCTGGCAATTGCTGATCTGCTCCTCATTTTTACCCTGCCTTTCTGGGCAAAAGCATCTTCAGATGTCTGGATCTTTAAGAATGTCATGTGTAAAATTGTCAATAGCATGTACAAGATCAACTGTATGTTGTTTCTAATATGCATTAGTTTTGACAGGTACATTACAATTGTCCAGGCCATGAAAGCTAAGAACTCTAAGCGAAAAAGGCTTCTGCGCAGTAAACTAGTTTGCTTTGGTGTTTGGCTGATTGCAATAGGCTTATGCATCCCAGAAATAGTATACAGTGAATCTAAGCAAGTTATTAATACAATTACTTGCAAGATGGTATACCCTACCACAGTGACCCGAACCATCAAAGTTACTGTCCTAGCTTTGAAAATCACAATAGGATTCCTCCTTCCTCTCTTTGTCATGGTTACTTGTTATGATTTTTTGCATCCGAAGAAGTGGGCTGTAGTCCACGAAAGCTTATGCTCTAATAAATTTGTTAGTCTCTAAGGTGCCACAAGTACTCCTGTTCTTCTTGTTATGATTTTATAATTCATACCCTCCTTCAAGCCAAAAGATCCCAAAAGCACAAATCATTAAAGATCATCATCATTATTATCACAGCTTTCCTCCTCTCCCAGTTGCCCTACAACAGCATTTTGCTGGTCAAAACCATCGATGCCTACTCCATGGTCATATCTGACTGCCAAACCCCTGACAACATTGACCTTGGATTCCAGATACCTCAGAGCATCGCCTTCCTTCACAGCTGCCTGAACCCCATCCTCTATGTGTTTGTTGGGGAGAGATTCCGTAAAGCCCTCTTTAAAATTCTGGAGGATGCAATTCACTGTACTGGTAAGAGCCGAGAACAGAGCTCTTCCATATACGATAGCCAAGAAGGGAGCTCAAAATGGTCTGGATTGCTGGGGAAATCAAAAACCAGGAGCTCTCTCACTTTGAGTATACACCAAAATTCCTCACTCACAACCAATTTCTGCCAAGCTCCTTTCGAAGTTAATGGGAGTCTGGCCGGAGCAAGGAGTACTGAATGCAGTGCTCTGTAAGTGATTCTTATCCTATGAAAGAAAAAGAAAGATTCCGCTCAACAAAGTGAATTAGTATCTTCATGAGGGGCTTGATCCAATGATGCTTCAAAGTATTGAGCACTCTCGACTTCTGCTGAAGTCAGCAGGAGTTGAGGCCACTCAGTGCCTCCCCCTGGAGCACTGAGCACCTTCAAAGATCCAGCCCTAGGCTTGTGAGCAGCGTGCTGCTTGCCCTGCCTTTTTAGCTCAGCTGTGAGAACCACAGTGAGTTCAGGCTTTCGCTAAAGCAGTGGAATCTTGACGTATGATAGACAGTGCACACACTTCTCAAACAGCAAGAAAACCACATTAACATCTGCCAATCGAAAAAATCTACACCAGCAGAGCAAACTATGTAGATAATTACCCATGAGGCACTTATTAGCTCTTCACCACTGTTCTTCACATATCCCCCAGTGTGGGAAAAAGGTGAAAGACTGAACTTCAAAATACACCTCGATCCCAATATAACGTGACCCGATATAACATAAATTTGAATATAAGGTGATAAAGCAGCGCTCCGGGGGGGGAGAGGTGTGCACTCCTGTGGATCAAAGCAAGTTCGATATAACGCGGTTTCAGTTATAATGCGGAAAGATTTTTTGGCTCCCGAGGACAGCGTTATATCGAGGTAGAGGTGTACCCCAACTTTGTTGCATGTCACTTTTTTGTCAGCCCTTTGTATTTTCAAGTCTCCCTAATAGAAATAATGGCTTCTTTACTGTGTGGTATTTGGTGAATCATGTTCCTGGGTTAATTGACACATGAAGCTTTTCAGTGTTCTGAAACCTAATCTGTATTTTCTCATACAGTAAGGTTGTGACCTGGTCATGCTACTTTGCCTATGAATCACTTCTTGATTCTCTTTGTATTGTCATCAGAAGGTTTTTGAAGCAATGATAGAAATAGATCAATTAGATTCCAGGGTATGTGACTTTGGCATAATTTGGACAGAAAGGCTTAGAAAAACTGCCCCATTTGGATCCTGTCCAGCACATTGTATAATAACTGTACCATATCTGCAAGTCTTAGTCAGCCCAAATTCTTAATTGATTTCACTGGGACTTTTACCTGAAAAAAGACTGGTAAGAACTATGATCTAGCTTCTGCTCTCAGTTACAGCAAAAGAAAGCTGGTGTAACTTTGCTATATTTACACTAGTGTAACAGAGCAGAACATAACTCTGAGTAGGATTTTGTGCACAGAATTTTGAGGAGACAGAATAGGAAAGAGAGAGAATAATTTCAAAATCCTGTACGCTCTGAGCTGCTTAAAAATTGGTGTTACAGAAAGAAACATTTCCATGGGTCAAATGCAGCACCATTCACAGGGGGCCCAGTGAGTTGTGCGCACATGAGGGCAGACTTTGGCCAATATCATGTATACGCTTGGTGGTGTAGTTTCAGCTCTCTGCATCATGACTGTTGTTTGGTTCTCTCACAGGCTTCACCCTGCAGCCAGGCTACATCCTGTGTAGTTTTAACACATGCTTGATGTGACGGTGGCCCCCACAGGGGAGGCTCTAGCTTTTTTGCTGCCCCAAGCACGGCAGGGAGGTCCCTGGTCCTGCGGATTCGGCATACCCACCGCTGAATTGCCACCGAATCTGCGGGACCGGCTGACCTCCCGCAGGCATGCCACTGAAGACAGCCTGACTGCCACCCTCGCAGGGACCGGCAGGCCGCCCCCCCGCAGCTTGTCGCCCCAGGCACGCGCTTGGAGTGCTGGTGCCTTGAGCCGCCGCTGGCCCCCCATAAGGCTTTATGGAATATGCTTATGAATGTACATATGACATAACTAGAATATGCCATGAAACATATCTCTGTAAAGGTTATGGTCTACTGAATCTATTAATCCTATTTGTATGCATGTATTATTTTTGTACTTGAAGTTAGGAATATTGGCTGTATACTTGCTTGATTTTAACTAGCCTAGTCAGGGCCACCCAGAGGATTCAGGGAGTTTGGGGTCTTCAGCGGCAGGGGGCTCCCGCCACCAAATTGCCGCCAAAGACCCAGCACTTCGGCAGCGGGTCCCGGGGCAGAAGGAACCCCTGCCGCTGAATTGCCACTGAAGACCCGGAGCGGAAGAAGCTCCGGGTGCCCGGACCATGTGCGAGTTTTCCGGGGCCCCCAGAGCGAGTGAAGGACCCCGCTCCAGGGGCCCTGAAAAACTCTCGTGGGGGCCCCTGTGGGGCCCGGGGTCTGGGGCAAATTGCCCCACTTGCCCCCCCCTCTGGGCAGCCCTGAGCCTACTAGAGCATTATGGTCAGCTTCTTGAGAAAAGCACAAATTAAGTGCCCAATCAAAAACCACTTAAGCCAACAATGAACTTGCCAATCCACATCTGAGCTTTCACAGGAATGTGGCTTGGTTGGTAAAAACTGAGCCATGTATGGACATGTGGCTTGCCCATGTGACTCCAAAACTCCATCTTGGAGCTGGACTTTGCATAGGAGAGAGGAGGGGGGTCTCCACCTACAAGAGAAAGTCTATTTAAACCCCCAGGAGACCCCTCCATTTTGTCTTCAGCTGGCTAAAGGGAAAACCTATCCACCCCCAAGGATACCAGAAAGGAACTGGAACAAAGGACAGTAACTACAGGGGGTGTGAGTGATTGCTGGACCCAGACTAGAAGGAGACTAGTCTAGTAAGAGGAAGCTTACTGGGTGAGGTTTTTATCTGTATTCAGTTTCTTAGACATAGACTTCCGTGTTCTATTTTATTTTGCTTAGTAATTCACTTTGTTCTGTCTGTTACTACTTGGAACCACTTAAATCCTACTTTCTGTATTTAATAAAATCACTTTTTACTTATTAATTAACCCAGAGTATGTATTAATACTGGGGGGTGGGGGAACAGCTGTGCATCTCTCTCTCTCAGTGCTATAGAGGGCAAATAATTTATAAGTTTACCCAGTATAAGCTTTATACAGGGTAAAATCGATTTTTTTAGGGTTTGGACCCCATTGGGAGTTGGACATCTGAGTGTTAAAGACAGGAACACTTCTGTAAGTTGCTTTCAGTTAAGCCTACAGCTGTTAGGGGACGTGGTTCAGACCTGGGTCTGGGTTTGCGACAGGCTAGCGGATCTGGTTCAAACCAGGCAGGGCACTGAAGTCCTAAGCTGCCAGGGCAGGAAAGCAGCAGAAGAAGTAGTTTTGGCACATCAGGTGGCACATCAGGGGGGTTCTGTGATCCAACCCGTCACACTCGGTTCATAAGAACATACACAGAATAGACAAAATTAAACAAACACGTGACCTAATTTGGCACAGACTCACCTGTCACAGCCAGGTTTGCTGGCTCACTTGCCTGTTACACCACTCTGACAAGATTACTTTGAGGAAGTGGGAAAATCTCTGAGGCACGCCCCAGTTGTTTTCCATCCCATGTATGGTCCTTCAGCGATGCATTGCTATCTGTGGCGATGTTGTTCATTCTCACCCACTTGAACAGAGACTTGTGCCATGCAAATTGATGTCCCTCCCCCTCCTGCATACCATAGTCATCCTTACTCTAAATTATATAATATTTAATAAGTAAATTCTTGAGTAAAAATAAAAAACATAAAGAAATATTCCAGTACAAAGCCGTCTACATCCCCATAAGTGTACAGACTTCAATATTCAAAAAAACTTTATTTCTCTGTGAAAGTTAGTTGAACTTGGTGCAAATCCATTGCGCAATTCTTGGCAGTTATGACCAAAAGATATTTCTGAAGAAGTTACAGTAAATTTCATTGAGCATTATTAAAACTATAGTGCAAGTTCAATTTTAAAACAAAACCGAGCAAAGTCACGTATTGCAGCTTTACAACTTCAGCATTTTACAAAGCTGTAAACTCTTTTTATGCAATACATGTCAGTAAGTTTTCATGAACCAATTTTCAGTAACACTTATAGAAATGTAAAAGAACACTGTCAAGCAATGAAAAAACAAAAAGACAAAAAACCAATTATATTCTACCCTATGCAGAGTAAACTGTGGTGGGAGAGAATCATCTGAAGAAGTGAGGTTTTTTTACCCACGAAAGTTTATGCCCAAATAAATGTGTTAGTCTTTAAGGTGCCACCTGACTTCTTGTTTTTGTTTTGTTTTAAAAAACCACCTGCATTTCTGATGTCGTACAACTGCTACATTTCTTACCTCGTTTGTGTCCCAGCTTTATTGATAACATAACTGACAACCTCAGCACAGCTCTGATAACAGAGTTCTGTTAATAAATGTGTGATTTTGATGCTGGATTGCTGTTTTTCAGTGTTGCCAACAGTTTTTAGTGTTTTTCACTAAGCCCCAGCTGCTGGAGTCATGGTGTTGCAGGAGTATCTCAGTGTTCATTTTTCAATAAGTAAGTTTCTACCCCGATGCTTGCAGAGAAAAGTGTGAAAATGTGATACAAATGCACCCTAAAGACTCAAAAGCAAAAAAGGTAAATAAAAAGCCCAACATTTATAATTTAAAAAAAATCTCATGATCGCCTTATAAATCTCTAGATTTTGGGATGGCGGGGCAGATTTGTGTTTTTGAATATTTAAGGTTGCAATACCGTTTTTTGCAGAAGCAGAGCTACTCTGGGCCCTACATGAACAGCGCATTTTTAAAAAAAAAAATCTTTGCAACAGAGTGATAGATTTAAATAAGGGACAGAGAAAAAGTAAATCCAGAGGCCACCCTTCACCAGATTATTTATAATATATTATAGATCACAGTTTGGCCTACCACTTGACAGTGTCCCTTTAACTTATGTTTGCATTTTAAGAAAAAATATCTTAGTGAAATTAGTATTCAGCTAAACAGTAGCAAAATGCTTTTAAAATTACACCTAAAAGTTTAAGGAAAATTGCAGTTAGACTTCAGTTAAACATCCATTATATTGCATAGTGTAGTGTTCCACTTTTAAATATGAAATAAATGCTCATTGCCTAAATAAGAATAAAACATAAGCTCAGCAATAATAATAATAAAATAATATGCTGGTAAGTAATGAAATTGCTAGTGCATAATTTGTTTATTGCTTATGTGCAGGGGCAGCTCCAGGCACCAGCGCACCAAGCACGTTCCTGCGGCGGCAAGCTGCAGGGGGCGGCCTGCAGGTCGCCGTGAGGGCAGTAGTCAGGCTGCCTTCAGCAGCATGCCTGCGGGAGGTCTGCCGGTCCTGTGGTTTTGGTGGCAATTCGGCGGCAGGGACGCCAAAGGCGCGGGACCACCGGACCTCCCGCAGGCATGCTGCCAAATCCGTGTAACCAGGCAGGGCACTGAAGTCCTAAGCTGCCAGGGCAGGAAAGCAGGAAGGCGGCCTGACTGCTGTGCTTGGGGTGGCAAAATAAATAGAGCCGTCCTGCTTATGTGCTGCTCACCTTAATCTCATTTCCATCTTGATTAGAATCTTTTAAATGTAATCATATTTTCAGCAGCATAGAGCTCAGTTGTGATGGTCTCTGACCTCTCTGTTCCTACAAAGAAAAGGACCCTGCATCTTTCTTTGATACATCTTCCCACGGCACTTTACATGTAGTACTGATATAATAAGAAAGATGAACTGGATGGTCAACTAAATGGAATATCTTGAGATGAGTCAGGGTCCTGGAGGTTAACATAGGGACTGATCCAAAGCCTGTTGAAATCAATGAGAGGATTAGATTAATGGAGATATCCCATCTCCTAGACAGGACCTTGAAAGGTCATCAAGTCCAGCCCCCTGCCCTCACTAGCAGGACCAAGTACTGATTTTGCCCCAGATCCCTAAGTGGCCCCGTCAAGGATTGAACTCATAACCCTGGGTTTAGCAGGCCAATGCTCAAACCACTGAGCTATCCCTCCCCCCCAAGAGGACTTCCATTTAATTCAGTGGGCTTTGGATTGGGGGCATAGCAAGGGCATTTATGGTCTAAAAATACTATGTATTGACCAATTAAAAAGTACATCACCCATAAACAACGTCCATCCCCTTTCACTGCTGTTTACAATAACAATAATGACCTCAGCAATAGGGATTACAGACCTCAGTGCTTACAATCAGCATGAGCAATCTGTGCCATCACAGCAACAGTGCTATTCCTATCAAACAGAATCCATTAGGGCTGAGGTACGGCACCAGAAAAATACACACACCCATTTGAACCTCAATCCTTCTCCCAAACTGAACTGAACCTTTGATAAAGAGTCCTCCCACCCCCATCCAATGCTCTTTTGTACCCAAATTTATCTCCCCCTTCCAAATTCTCTACAGTCAACCAGCCAGATCCTTCAGCCTAGACTTGGAAACTCCCACTGTTTTCTGTTCTCACCCCCAGGTTTCTTTTCCCTCCTCTAACTCCTCACAGGGCCCCCTACATCAGCTGCTACTCCGATCAGGAAGCTGTCAGATTCCTGGCAGGCTCTGCTGGGCTTCCACCAGTTGCTGCCTTGAAATCTCTCATGGTCCTAGGCCTCCTTTGGTGAGCGATATTCAGTCTATTCTGAGATGCCTCTGACCCATGAGGAGATCTGATTGGAAAATGTCCATCTGCTCTCAATTTTTTTCCCCAACTTTCTTTTGATAAACTGAAAACTTTTCAACTGAAACCCCAAAATCTTTTGATTTTTCAGTTTGTTTAAAAAAAATATATCCTCTAATTTTGTGTAGAAAGCAGACACTTTCTATGGAGACGATTTTTGTTAAATCAAAAAACCTATTTTCCACCAAAAAAGGCTTTTTGATTGAAAACTTTTACCCAGCCCTGCCCACAAATGCACAAGATTTGAATACAGGAGCCACCTTGGGCCGAGCAGAGACTGCAAACCACTGGTTTGTACTGGGGAAATAAACATGGGGGAGAGGAGATGGAGAAAGTGCCAAGCATGAGGGCTGGATGGACAATGGAGAATGGTAATAGGAGTCACCAGATTAGCCAGGAAATGGGGAGGAAATCATTTGTACTTGGAGGGAAGGAGCAGAGGAGCACGTAGGCTGGGGTAGAGGAAGCAGAGATTCGGGGAAGGACAAAGGAAAGTGACCTGACTGGGTTGGTACCAGGAGAGAGAAGGATAGGAGGACAGGGGAGAAGGAGGAGGACCTCACTAGGTTTGGATATGCATCCAGTTTTGGGTGGACTTATCGAGACTGGATCAAACCTGATGAGGTGTGGTGTTTAGATGTTGCTTGTAATTATTAGAACTGGGAGCACTGGCTGTTGGGCGTCTGGAAGGACAGGAAAGAGGAAGGAGGGGGGAGGAGAAGAGGAGGCTGAGTGAGAGTTACAGAGGGTGCAGCAGCAGCTTGGTAAAGAGGTTTCCACTTTAAAAATAAAGTCCTGTTGAAGTTTGTCAGTACCTTGCTTGGTCACTACAACATGAGGCTCAACAATTGCTACCTTCCACTCAGTCTATAAAAAGGAATCATTCTCGTCATTTGTATCCTTTGAGTTTTTATTTTTGTGCGATTACTGTGGTTTAAAAGAGCCAAAGCAGAAAAAATAAACATGCCTGTTTCCCTTTCTTTAGTGTCACACACGAGAACTGCTGATTTTTTCTGCCAATTATACACCAGATTCTGCCACTGTAAGTTACTTAGAGAGAAACCTGATTCTGCAAGAGCTTCCATTGATTTCAGTGGATCTACTTACAGAGTAGACTGATCAAGACTAATTTTGCATCTGTAACAGCATTTTTTGGAACAGGTATTACAAGTCAGACCATTTTTTAAAACCCACTTTAACATTTTAAACCCAAACTGAATATCAAAAAAGTATATTTGTTGCTTATAAGTCTGAAATAAGATAAGAATGATCCCTTAGTGATACCTATCTGTAAAGTCTGAAGAATTGCATAGTTGCATTTTCTTATAATTTTGAGTTGACCAGAAAATGTGTTTTTCCCCATTGAAAATTTTGATTTTCTTTTTCATATTTATCAAATATTTTCAGGGGAAAAAATCCAAACTTTTCAACAACAAGAAAATGTTTTTTTAGTTTTCAGCCAATTAAATTTTGTTTTTTTTGACAAAAACCTCAAAATTCTTAATTTTGTAAAAAAACCAAATTTTTATTGAACATTTTATTGATGGAAAGATTTTGACCACACCTATAGAACAGGCTAGCTTTTGAGTAGTCTCTGCACAGTATTGAAACATAGAAACCTTCACAGGAACACGTTTCTTGTTTTTAGAAAGTACTGTACATACTTTGTTTTATAAATACTGCATAGCTTTAACAGGTGTTCAAGCAGTGGTAATATAGGTGCTTTCATACACATATGAATAATAGCATTTCTTAAAAATATAATTAAAATAACAGCATATTTTCAAAGCTATAGAAAATCACTACCATCATAGATCACAGGTCGTTCAACAGTCAAAAGATAAAATACTCTTTTTGAGATAAAGCTGTACAAATCAAAACAAACAAACAAACAAACAAACAAACAAACAAACAAAACCCCACAGCAGCAGATTGTGTTAGTTTATGTCAGGTAAAAGTCAGATCATGATAGCTGGTCAAATCCTGCAATCCTTACTTAAGCAAACATCCATTGGACTTTGAGAAGTTTTGTGTGAGTTAGGATTGCAGGACTGGATGCAGTAGAGGCATTAACTACAAGAAGACAATCTGGACTCAATTGGCTGAACATAATCATGCAGTAAATTCTGTTGTTTACCGTCTCAGAGTTTAAGAGGATCGAAGGATGGAACAATGTTATAGAATCACGGGAAACTATCATTAACAAAATCTGAAACTCAGGCCACTGAATTTTAACCCCTTTTTCTTAATAGCCAGTCTAACAACGTCTACAAGCGATGAAAAACTCCTTATTTCAATCTCTACACTCAAACTCTACCTAACTAGAGAAGGTGTTAGCAAATATCAGTACATAGATACCACAGTTTCTCACTTTCACCTGCCCTCTGATAGTTTCCTTATGAGAATAAGTCCCTGGAATTGAAAAATCAAAACAGAACTTGGTTTCAAAGCTCTACCTCTACTCTAGATTTGGAAGAGATATTTAGACATATACCTTCCTCAGAGCAACAAGAGGGTGTGTGTGTGCAACAAAATATATTTAAAATGGAAGTTATTCCTGAAATACAGTTGGCATTTCTGAGCCTTTTGCTGGTGGTTGCCACCCTATTGAAAAGGGAGAACATTTGTACAAGTGATACAATGGGAAGCCTAATATCTCAAACGAGTTACTGTTAGACTTCTATCAATCACTGGAGAACTTTAACTCTCCAAGCAGGAAACTGCTGAGATATTGCATTTATCCCTCTCACATGTAATGGAAGATGGACTTGAACTTATAACTGATTTTTAAAAATTCTGGTACTTGGTGTGAGACCATTTCATGTACAAGCAGAATGGATTGTTTAAACATGTAGATTTCTTACTTCACAGTTAGTGGGATTAACGTCTGGTAACAAGCTTTATGGCCCAAGTCAGCAATGCACTTAAGCACATGTTGAACTTCTGTGACATTAACCATGTGCTTCAGTGCTTTGCTGAACGGTGCCTAAATTCTTTCATTACTGACACATCCTTATCCCCAGCTATGTATTAAACAAAAAGAATGACACAAATAAAATGTAAGAAAAGCAAGTTTATTGGCTGTCCCTCAGATACCACAGAATATGCTCCAAGCAGAAAGTCTGGGATATACACCTTAACACGCCTTCACCAAACATGGACACTCCACCTGAGAAGCAGATCACATCAGGGAACAGGCCA